AAATAAAGAGAAAATGTCATGCCATTTAAGTTATTCTAGTATGGAGGTCCATGGTGGACAAACAGCCACATGGTATGAAGGAGAAATTTAGAGAAAGAGTGAGGAAGCCCAGAATTACCAGGAAAAGCATATTTCAACTCTGGCCAGCATCTGAAAGAAAGATACAGAAGAGACAAAAAGGAAAAGTGACATGTTTCTAAGCCAGTACAGAAATGTGGACAGACCCAACAGAACCTCATGGTGGCTCTGTACCAACTGCATGGAAGCCTGGAATATTGGGAAGAACAAGTACATTTTTCTCAATAAGTAGATAATCATTCATCCTACCTCATTAGCATAGTTTAACTAGGACCTTCCTTTCTGGGGTGATGTCTTAGCCAAGTGCCATCACCTGCCCAACTACATTACGTCAAGAGAAGAGACAGTGGTATGTCTCTACCTAGGCGTGGATTGCATTCTCTACTGTAATTGTACTCTCAAGAGGTATGATGTACTGTTCTTCATCTTTGCTAAATTTCTATCTCCTTGATATATCACTGACTAATAGAAGGAGACTGAATTCTCCAACAAAAGTGGATTTTCTTTTGTTCTCTTTAGTTTTTAATAGTTTTTGCTTCATCTATATTGTGGTTTTCTAGTTTGGACCTCAAATTTTTAAATTGCTATTTCTTCTTGGTTCTTAACCTTTTCAACAATTATGCAATAATGCCCTTCTTTAGTCCCTGATAATTTTCTTTATGAAACTATTTTATTTATCATTTTTACTTCGTATGTGTATTAGTGTTTTGTCTGCATGTTCGTAAGCATGGGTACAATGCCCACAGAGGCCAGACGAAGGTGTTGGATTCCCTGGAACTGGAGTTATGGATAGTTGTTAGCTGCCATGTAGGTGCTGGGAACCAAACTCAGGTCCTTTGCATGAGCAGCCAGTGCTTTTAACTACTGAGTCACCTCTCCAACCCTCACTGATGATTTCCTTTACAATGAAATCTACTTTGTAGACATCAATGCAGCCACTTTTCAGTGCTTTGACTAATGTTTATAGTGAATGCCTTTTCCCTTCTTTCATGTTTGACTCATAAACATTATTATATCTAGTGAGTTTCTTATTCACAATATGTAACAACATAATATTTTTCTATCTACTATGAAAATTTTCTTAAGTGGTATTAAAAGAAAAACAGCAGAAAGCATGAAGGAACATGGAAACAGGAAAAACTACTGATGAATACGTTACGCCACCATTCTCCTGCTGATTTTGCTGAAGGAGGTTTGACTTTTGAAGAACTGATAAGGTAAACAGCATCACTGTCTAAATGGTATTTAAATAGATCACAACCCAGTCTAGACCCCTCTGCTAGTTGCTTTCCTCACAAGGTAAAACTGCCTCTTGAAAGGATCCCTATTGCCTATTTTATGACAGATTTAACTGAAGAAATAACATGCTAAAAACTTGCTTCTCAGCCCTCACTTGAATTGAATTGAAGGCAATAATATCTTCTTTATTACTTGAGTAATAGCCTATGGTGCTTATTTCTCAAGGAACTGTTTTGAGTTAAAACTATTGCTCAGGGGTAAAGTGTTTGCCTAGTGTGTATATCTCTGTGTTCAATATTCATCAGTGCCAAAATATTTTAAAAGTTTTTTTTTACGTTTTTTATTGAATTTTTGCAATTTTCGTTTTTTGTGGTTTGTTAGCATTTTTCTATGTGCTTCTCTTTTTAAATTTTTCTATTGAATTTTTGTGTATTTCACACAGAACATCTCAATCAGTCTTAACCATCTTTATACCCCCTGCCCCACTGTCATCCTTCCATAGCTCCCCCCCACAAATACATTCTGTCATTTGTGTTAAAGTCTATTGTGTCAAGTTAGTGTCCCCAGATGTTCCTCAGTACAAAGTCACCTAATGAGGTCTAGTCAGCCTATCTAAAGTCCCTCACTTTAGGAAGATCAGCTCTTCCTCACCCAGCAGTAATCAGTTGCCAATATTTCTTCAGCTAAGATTGGGGTCTGCTGTCCATTTCCCAGTCCTATGCTGGATTTTTGTCTGCTTGAGTTTGCATGGGTCTTGTGCATGCTGTCATCTTTGTTGTAGGTTCAAGTGAGCAGGGTCCCAGGATCTTGTAGGACTCTATTTCCATATGATCATGTACCTCTTCCCTGGCTCTTGCAATCTTTCTGCCCCCTCTTCTGCAATGGTCCTTGAGCCCTGGGTGAATGAAGTTTATTATAGGAGACAATGCAAGCCCTAAGGCTCACAGAACATAGAACAAAGACTAAAGAGAACACTAGTAATATCTCCGTTCTCATTAATGAAGCTCCTTCATGCAACAGAAGACCAGGAACACAAATAGCCACAGATGGCCAAAGAGTAGAGATTAAGAGTTGGTAGAATTTTTGCAATTTTCATACAATACAGTTATACGGTTTGATGGCATTTAAAACTCCTCCCCTCTCCACACTTCCCCCTACTACCTCTGCTCAATTCGATGAACTCATATATCGAGAGAGAGAGAGAGAGAGAGAGAGAGAGAGAGAGAGAGCTATGAAGTATGAAATACCTTAAACATCTAGAGAGAGAACTATGCAGTATGAAATACCTTATACATCTTTCAATAATTAATATCCCATTTTGTTTAATAAAAGTAACAATTGTATGTATGCACGTGTGTGTGTGTGTGTGTGTGTGTGTGTGTATTTGTGTGTTTAGTGGGTTGCTTGAGATTTTCAAAGATGGTCTTTTTCTCCTGAAGTTTCTGCTTTGTCCAAATAGCCTTTGTTTCTTTCTTTGCTCTTTGGGTATCAAGTGTTGGAAGTTCACATTGATAAGCCAAGTAAATTTTGATATCTTAGGTAAGCTACTGTCCTGTAAGTCATAACCAAAAGTTACAACCTGTAAGTTGATTTTTAGGAGGCAGTGCACTGGATGTTATACAAAGGGCTGAGAAGCAGAACAGAAAGTTCTGAGCCAATCCTCATTCATTTAATAGTCACTATGCATGGAGGATTCCATAGTATAAATCTAGTTGATTCTAGGCTTCCTTATTGCCTACTCAGAATTTGATCCTGTTGGGTCTGATAAACCAGTAATTAATCACCAATATGCTTTCTAAGTTGAAAGTCATACTATTGTTATATGATCCTTCATGGATACATTTTAATTTAAAAAATCTTTATTAGAGACCTAGGGGATCTCTACCTCTATGTTTGAGTTCATGCCATTTTTAAAGAAGAGGATTAGTTATCTATCTCAATTGATTTGTCATTAAAGTAAACTTAACTCTGTCTTTCCCTCACCATCTCTTGCCTTTCTGCCTTCTACGATGGGATGATGATGTCCTAAGAAGTCTCTCACCAGATGCACTTCCACCGTCTTGATCTACCAGCTTCCAAACTGTAAGCCCATACATTTCACTTCTCTGTATAAATTTCAAAATTTCCAATATTTTACTGCAGTAACAGAGAACAGACTAAGGCAAGGAGTCTACTCCACATAGTCATTCAAAAACAGTATAAAGTAGACTTCAGTATGCAGCAATAGCATTCTTACCAAACTTAATAAAAAACACAACAGACCCAGTTAATTTTGGACTTCAACAAAACAATAATTATTTCCTTTAATGTTTCTCATGCACTATTCATATCATGTTTCTAATAAGACTATCTTGGTAATCTGAAATTCAAATGTTAAATTGGTGTCCTGTTTTACATATGACATCCTTAACACATGACTTGCCAAGGTTCCCTGAATTTTGGTCGATATCTAGCCAATAGATGAGAAAATCAAAGGAGCAAAAATTTTCCAGTTTCAATAAAAATGGAGACTGAGAGTTGGTTGAGGCTTGGAGGAGCAGAACTGGGCACGAACATGGTATCATAACTGCATACAAGCAACTGTAATCAGAAGTGTGGCCCACCTCTGGTCCCATAAGAAAACGCTCATGTATTGATGTGAAAGAAGCCAATCAATTTCTACAATATAAAAGTTCAACATATATTTTTTCACAATGAGTGATGCTTGGCAATACAATAAAGGTTTTATGTATAATGATACTGAATCACAACATTTGAAGTTTCACACTATATGAACAGCTTAATGGGTACAGATATAGAAAGAACAAAATATTCCTGATTTAAAGTAAACTATCAAAAGCATTAACCAAAAGATTACTACATGACTCTCTCTTAAGAAAGGCCATACATACTCAAAATGAAAATGCTATGGAAAATGAAAGCTTATAATTCTTACTAGATTATTCATTTTGTGAAGGAAACCCATTAGATGATAATTGTGAAAAACAGAGCAAATCACATAATGAAACCATCAAAAGTGAATGGCAGGAATGTGTCTCGGAACATTTTTCTTGTACTAATCTTAATTGCAACAGATTTTTCTGTGATTAAATGATTAAAAGACTAGATGGCTAAGAAAATCTGTAGGCTAGTAAAAAGGGACAAAATCAAATTTTAATATTTCTTTATGTAAATATACAAACTTTTATTATAGTAAAACTACATGTTAATCTGTATTTCTTAGATTAAGGCATTGAAAGTCATCATTCCTCTACCAAGTCCTTTTAATTTGAAAATGAATTCCTCAAATACATAGTCCATGTACATACAGAATAAAAACATTCGGTAAACAATCAAAATCACTTTTGAGTATTTATCATGAAGATCTAAGTCAAAAAAGGAATGTGAGGGGTCCGCAGTGGTTAAGAGTATTTGTTGATCTCAAAGAAGATCCAGATTCAGACTCAGTTTCCAGCACTCACAAGTCAGGTCACAACTGCGTGTAACTCCAGTTCCAGGGGATCCAATGCCTTTTTTGCCTCCAGGGAACCCAGGCATGCATGCAGTACACATACTTGTATGCAAAACACTCATTCATGTAAATAGTTTCTTAAGTAATATGAAACGTAAGAATCTTTTCACTTTAAGAAGTACAAAAATTTCCCTCTTGTCCTTCTCTTGGTCCCCTCAGGCTCCTCATAGCCATGACACAAGGAAATGGTACTGAAGTCACAGACTTCTACCTTCTGGGATTTGGGGTCCAATGTGAGTTTCAGTGTGTTCTCTTCATTGTGTTTCTTGCCATCTATGTGACATCCATGGTGGGTAACACTGGGATGATCCTCCTCATCAACACTGACTCTAGACTTCAGACCCCCATGTACTTCTTCTTACAGTAACCTGGCTTTTGTTGACATCTGTTGCACATTTGCTGTCACACCTAAGATGCTACAAAACTTCATCGTAGAAGACAGATCCATCTCATTTGGAGGATGTGTAGTGCAATTGCTAGTCTATGCAACATTTGCAACCAGTGACTGCTATGTGCTGGCAGCTATGGCAGTGGACCGTTACGTGGCCATCTGTAAGCCACTTTGCTACCCTATCATCATGTCCCGAAAAATCTGCATCCAGATGGTAGCTGGTTCCTATCTCATGGGATCACTAAATTCCTCTGTATATACAGGTTTTACATTTTCATTGTCTTACTGCAAACTCAACAGCATCAATCACTTTTCCTGTGATGTTGTCCCAATCATCAACCTTTCATGCTCCGACATTGACACCAACATCAGGCTTCTTGTTGTCTTTGTGAGATTTAACCTGATGTTCACTGTGCTGATCGTTATCTTCTCCTACACTTATATCATGGCCACCATCATAAAGATGTCTTCTACTGCAGGGAAGAAGAAAACTTTCTCCACCTGTGCCTCGCACCTGACAGCAGTCACCATTTTCTATGGAACTCTTGCTTACATGTACTTACAGCCCCATTCTGACAATTCTGAGGAGAATATGAAAGTGGCCTCTGTATTCTATGGCATTGTAATTCCTATGTTGAACCCTCTGATCTACAGCTTGAGAAACAAAGAGGTCAAAGAAGGCTTTAAAGCAATGGGCAGAAAGTTCTTTAAATTGACTCCAAATCCTTAAAATGGAGCGCATCAAAACATCTATTAGAGCATCCAAAAGACATTTGTTACCACCATTAAATAATTCTGAAGCTGAAGACATGTTCAGCTATTAACCAGTGTTCCTCCTCTCAGTACATAATATCTTAGAATGTGGGAAATGTTCTAAGACCTGGTCCTAAAACTGATATTTGATGCAATAACAGTTGGAAAACATTGTATGTTCCTCAGGATGAAGTCTTTATATCTACTACTTAAAATTTTAAGAACTATATATAAAATTTAAGAAGTGCTATTTCAAATATTTTAATGATAGAAAATCCTCAGCTTATATATAATCAATATTAAAATACATTAATAATCAATATTAATATTAAAGTTTTCCTAAATCAACTATATTCAAGTCATTTATTAATTTAGCTCTAACTAATGCACAAGTCTAAATATAAGTATGTCACTTTAATAATTATCTTGTGATTCAAACAATCCTTTTTACCCAATATATTCCTGTATATATTACATTCTTAGTCCTTCAAAACACTTATTTCTATCACTAGCTACTCTTATTATTTTCATTCCATCCCTTTCTTATCTAGAGAAGAAATGAAAATATTTTCTACTACTATATACAAAAAGCATGGTCCAGAAATGGATATATAAGAGCTAGCATTCATTTATAAAAAGCATGCAAATAAATTTTTCCACAAATAATAGCTACAGAAACTCAATAAATATTGAAATGGAGACCCAGAATTCTCTGAGTCAAGAACATGATTTCTAAAGCAGGAAAAATTAATAAACAGATTATACTTTGTATTGTGATGCAGATGGTGGCAGGACAGGAAAATGTTTAAGGCAATTTTCATAATTTATCACTCTATCATGGATTTGTACTCAGAGGAAACTGTTTGCCAGCTAGCACTCTGTTCAGTATTGATTTTTGTATATGAGAAAATTTTGAGTTGAATCTCTGTTAAGTTCAAGATGATGTATATTTTCCCCATTACTCTCTATATATCACTAATTAGTTGCCAGTTGCTACTCATTAAAATAGTATTTGAATTAGTGACCAACAGGAACATGTTCACTAAGTGAGAACCTACCATATCACATAGAAAATGGTCCTCAGGACAGTCCAGATTTCATGAGGACTTACCAGTTCCACGAGCTGTTTCTAAACGTTACTACAAATTCTTGAGTCTTTGGCCAGATTTGAAAGTCAATCATGAACAAAGTTGGCCAACTTCATAAAAGTTAAGTATAGACCCTGAAGAAAGAAACATGGCTTCCTGAACCAAATAGTTTGGGACAGGAGTGACCTGGAGACAAGAGAGAATAGCTATGTATGGAAAGACAACTGATTAGCTCACCATTCCACATGTGTATTCACTGTTGTGCCAAACTATAAGTGACTAGAAATACACTACCAGTTGTATAGAACAAACCTCCAACAGACAGATGCATCTTTCTAAGCTCAGCTCTGCCAGTTTGTTGACTGTTCATGCCCCCACATGGAAGAAGGGACTGGGAGAGTCACAGAACCCTCTCCTGAGAGGCAAGCCACACGTCTCAACCTGTGCTTGGCAATTAGGTCCTCATTGCACATGACCTGGGGGAGGGACTGGCTTATACAGGCTGGGGAAGACTAGAGAAAGGTGTCTCTCGCCATTTTATGCAGCTATGGTGAAAGCTATCACCCAGGCTGGGGTGAACAGTTTCTGGTACAGCCTCAGGTGGAGAGCACCCACGCTAGTATAAGCAACCCTCACCCATTGCTCTGTAACTAAGCCCAATAAATTCATTGGTTTCCCAGAGTACATTTTGGTGGAATCTTCCCCTCATTGCATTTAGTGGAACTGTACCAAGGGAGGTTGGGATGGGTATTTTTTACACTCTCTCCACAAGGAATTTTAGCAACACTTCCCACTGTCTTAGTCCTTCCTGAAAGAACACTCATTTAGGTAAAACAAGATGTAGGTAATCTGTATTCCAGAATCTTTTGCCAGTTAGGGTGGCATGTGCTTTTCTGCCATCTCTAAATGAAGATCATGTATTGAGGATGTGTATTAAAGAATAAACATGCTACAGACACGTTTGCCCCTTATCCTTAGCTACTGGAAGGTGACACTAGAATATACTGCAAAAGCTGCCTGGAACGTTCGGTAATTTTACAGTCTAAGAAAGTGATTTATGCTGGGAATCTGAGTATATTCTAAAATAGTTTCAAACTCCACAGGAACTGGAGACTGAAGGCATTACCTCACATTCTAGCAGTGGACTGTAACCTCATATCAGCCAATATGTCATCAGGACTTGTAGGAAACCAGGATGCCAGGCCCTAGGGTGAGATGAGCTTTAAACTTTTAAGTCTAGGATGCATTCTCTGCTAAAGGGAGGGGCACTGAAAACAGTAGCTCTGATAATCCATCTTGCAGAACACTGTGACTGGCAGGAGAAAGCAACCAGATCATAAGTGCAGGCTCCTTGCTCTGTGGGAAAGTGTCTTGGTCAACAACCCTTAGCTCATCTCCCTGTCCTGAACAAATAACTCAGCTATCATTAGCTAAGAGATTAGACCAGGTTAAAGGTTTACTCCTGAGCTAGGCACACTTGGGTCACCTGACAAGGATTCAGTAAGAATTCTGTTTGGCCAGGAATGGTGGTGCATGTTTGTAATCCCAGCAATCAGGAAACTGAGGCAAGAGAACCATGAATTTCAGGACAGCCTCAGCTGCCTCAGCACTAAACAAAGTTGTGTCAATAGCAGCAACTCAGATGATATTCCAAGGTTTTAGCATGCGAGGCACATTGCCTGGCTGATGTTCAGAGAATAATGCATTCCCCCAAATAATGGAAGTTTCCTATTAGAACCACTCCCAGACTATGCATCTCTTTCTTTGGCTAGTTCTACTTTGAATTCTTTTGCTATACTAAAATTGTAGTGGTATGTGTAATGTTTTATTCACATCTCTCAGTCTGGGCTCTATAATAACTGACTATTGCCTGGTGGTTTGTTAATAGCAGTAATGTCTTTTTCCCAGTGCTCTAGAGACTAGAAGCCCAAAATCAGATTACCAGCATGCTTCTGGTGGTTGTACAAACACCCTTCCTGTTTGCACAAAATCTTATTTTAGCTTCATGTAGCATACAAAGTGACGGAAAGCTCTTTAAACACTTTTATGAGAGTACTACCCTTATTACATAAGTATTTCCTGAGGCTTCTACTTTCTCCTAATACAATAGGATATATTAGGGGATTCAGCACTTTGGGGAACCACAAACACTAAATTCATACTATTCTGCCTCTGGTCCCATAAAAGTCATATCCTTCTCACAGGCAAAATGCCCTAATTCCATTTCTAAAATCCCAATGGTCTTTCTTACTGCATTCCACTGACAGCTATAAAGTGCAAAGTCTTGTCCTTTTTTTTATTTTATTTACTTATAATGTGTATGTACGTGTGGATGTGCATGTGTCATGGCATACAAATGGAGGTGTGAAGAAACTCCTAGGAGTCAATTCTCTCCTTCCACCATGTGGTGACAGGTATTGATCTGACGTTATCTTGGTGGCAGGAGCCTTTACCAAATGAGCCATCTCTCCAGCCCCGAAGTCTTGCCTTAATATCATTTAGATAAGACAGGAATAAGATTCAACATATGGTTTATTCTGAGGTAAACTTCCTCCCCAGCTGACAACTTTTCAAACTTTATTTTTATTTTTTCTGTATGAGTGTTATGCCTGTGTGTATGTAAATACACTCATGCCATACAGTGTCCATGGAGGCTAGAAGAGGGTGTTGAATCCCCTGAAACTGGAGTTACAGATGGTTGTTAGCTGCCTTGTGGGTGCTGGGATTCGACCTTGGGTCATCTGCAAGAGCAGCCAGTGCTCTTAACTCATGAGTCATCTCTCCAACCCCTCTAGCTGACAACTTTTAAAATAAATTAATTTGTTTCCAAAATACAGTGTGAGGATATGCACAGGACAAAATGCCACTCAGAAAAGTAGACATGGAAATAAGGAAGAAGTGATAGGCCTAAAAAAACTGAACCTAGGAAGAGAAACTCTGAAATATGAAGGGAAAAGGATGATCCTCTTTGGGCCCTGTGTGTTGTCCTTAAAGCCCTCTAAGAGGAGAGACACCCCACCTTCCAGACCAAATGCAAGACTTCCTTGGGAACATCATTAACTTAAAATACTCTGTGCATTGTTTCTTTTTTACTTTAATGGTTTAAAAGCATATAATTTTTTTGCATTTATTTTTCAAAAATATTTATTTTTTAATTTGTTTTTATTGAATTTTTGTGTATTTCACATAGAACATCTCAATCAGTCTTAATCATCTTTATACACCTGTCCCTACCAGCACCCTTCCATACCCCCCATTGGAACCCATAAATTCTGTCATCTGTGTTAAGGCCCACTGTGTCAAGTCAGTGTCCCCAGACATACCCCAGTGCAAGTCCCTCCAGTGGGTTCTAGTCAGCTTATCTAGAGTCCCTTGTTTTAGAAAAATCAGCTCTTCCTCACCTAGCAGTGATCATCTGCCAATATTTTTTCAGCTAAGATTGAGGTCTGCTGTTCATTTCCCCAGTTCTGTGCTGGGGTTTTTTCTGTCTGAATTTGCATGTGACTTGTGTATGCTGACACCATTGCTGTATATTTATTGCTAAGCAGGGTCCCAGGAGCTTGTAGGACTCTGTTTCCATTGTTCATGCACCTCCTCCCTGGTTCTTACAATCTTTTCACCCCCTCTTCCACAATGCTCCCTGAGCTCTGGGTGGGAACAACATCAGTGCAGTCGTGGCACTTTTATCTTGGGGGCAATCAACAGCTACCTAGTTAGACTAAAAGCCCATTCAATGGGAGGATACTCAAGTGTGTTTCTGTAAACACAACCAAATACAGGTGACTGGAGTGATCACAGATCTTAGAGAAAACCCCAAGACTGTCACATCCCCAGACTAATGTAATTTCTTACTATGTGCAAAATCTGTATTCTTATATATACATGGTTT